ATTCACCCTCTCTTTGCACTGACTGGCTACCTTTCAGCCTCTTACGTTTAAGCCACGTCATAAAGCCCCCTTGGTTAACATGACTCGCCACGTGAACTGTGCTCTCGTCCTCAGTACACATCCTGCCTACAGACAGCCCTCTGTTTTGCCTATATGACATTCTGCCTACAGGCAGCCTTCCGCTTTACATATATTACAGTCGTCCTGCCTACAAACTGCCATCCGTTTTCAATACATAACAAGTATTGCTGGCTCACGACGGCTAATAAGCCCGGCTATTGCAGTCAGCCTTGTCTTTGCCGGCAATTCTATCTGCTTAAATCCAATTCGGCTCACTTCGAACTCGATTTTATTCAACTATGGACATACCTCTTTAGTACATGGGTAGGAATAAATCGTAGAGCCGCTCAATGGCAAACGTCTCTCAGCCGAAGTGCGTGACGGTACTCTGGGGTAAAGGATTAATACTTGATTAAAGAACAGGCAATGCGTATTCAATATGTGTTAAGTACACAGTAGGACATAAACTAAAGCCGCTTGTAGTTATTTTAATGAACTAAAATACATGTAAAAGCATGCGAAAAGAATTTCAAAAAAGACAAAGTGAAACTGCTTTTGGTCAGCAAAAGAAGTCTATAGACCAAGAAAACGGTAAGAATACTCCCGTTAAAATTGCAAAAATGCTCATCAGAGAATTTAGCAGAGTAGTTGGTGAATATAAGAAGGCTTTCGATAAACTTTCATTGGGCCATTACATTTATATGGGAGGGGGATAGAAGGTAAACATACGGGCAATTACGTTCATCATTATAGGCAAATTAGTCATGGGAATAGGGGAGGGGGGTCGGGGGTTGATAATAGGCGGCTGGTGACGCGGCAGTGAGGGTTTTTTCAAGCCGGATTCCCCTCTTCTATGCCCATGACTAATTTACTTGTAATGATGAAAGTAATTGCCCGCATTTGTACCTTTTACTTCCTTCCAATATAAATGTAATGGCCCTATCGTGCGATGTTAAGACTAAGAATGTTTAACCCCAACGGCTGCGATCTTTCAGGCCATGTTCCTTAGGACATGAGATAGAGCACGTGAAAGTCACAGTGTTAGGAAGAGTGTATTCTGGACAGACGGAAAGGAGATCTGACTATTGGAGCACACGTGAAGCCGCGAGGCGGGCTAGGTCCGAGGTGATGTCTAGCGGCAGCCACCGCATTGAGAGCTATCCAGCCAGGTTGAGGCCAACCTACTAATGAGGCTAGTCTAGTAACGCGGACGTCGCATTGGGCGGCTTGAGGTCACGGCGAGAAGGTAAGGCGCGCCTGGTCTCAAAGGCATGACCTCAGCGGCAATGGGGCGCGCTGAGTCAGCATGCGGTGGACATTCATCTGCGGCTGGTAATGGGTTCCAAGTAGCGCTAGCGGCGACTACAGCCCAAATAGAATTTATCGAAAGCCTACATATGCTCGCCAAATACTCTTCTGAGCAGTCCTCTTAGTTAACAACGCAAGCATGTAGACCAAGAACACCACTCAAACAACTCCTATCACCATTCAGTTCAGTCTAGTTCATTGGGCGGCTCTACGGTTTATTCCTATTGGTACATGTTTATGTAAAAAACATATTTTGTGATGTGGAATAACAGAATAGAGTCAAAATTGTTGCTCAAGCCAGTGCTACATACAAGCTCGGTGTGGGCATCTGGGCGTTTCCATTGGTATATCATAAAATTTCAATCAACAACAAGGTCAAAATATATCCTGCACTCTCTTGAACTATCCTCTCGTTTCCATGTTAACCCCTGGTCCCGGACATTTTCGGGCGTCGTTCTATGACGATGAACCTTTCAATGAGTGACACCCAATTTTCTTCAAGACAGATGGTTAGAAATCGTTATAAGGACACTGCAAGGC